CTGGGATGGCAAGTTGAAGGACGAAGACGTGGCCGGCGGCTTCTACCTCCTGCCGTCCTCCGGCGCGGATTGGCGCCTGGCCTTTTCGGCAAGCGAGCTACACTTGCGGGGGATTCTCCCGCTGCCGTTGGCTTGGGCGTTCCGGGCCGCCGTGGCCGTCCTGGGCCGCAGCCGTCCTCTGAAAGGCCTGGGGCCATACCACCTCTTCACCTTGGCCCTGTGGTCGTGCGAGCGGCTTCCAAGCAGCTACCTCAGCCGGGAGGAAAACGCCGCCCATGCCATGTTGGGTCTTTTGGACCACCTCTTGGCTAGCTTGGTCGAAAGGCGGTTGCCCAACTACTTCCTCCCTGAATGGAACCTTCTAGAAGGGCTTTCCCGGCAAGCCCTGGAGAGCCTGGCTCACAAAGTGGCCCAAGCCAGGGCCCAGCCTTCCCAGTATCTCCGCCAAGCGGTGGAAAGGGCGAAGGAAGCCAAGCGGCTAGCTAAAGCCTTCAGGGACCAGAATTCGGCGTCTGTGACCCCGTAATTTTTGACGTGGTTTTGGGGGTCAGAGGCCAACGTGGCTCACATTCTTCAGACAGAAAAGAGATGCCAGCAAAACCTCCCTGATAAGTGACCTTCCTGGTCACAAAAGTTTGGACTCATGGTCAGATTCATTGAAGGGTCAGTCATGTCTTCAGTCAGAGAAAATGGCAGAGATGGGAGACCTAAATTGTCTGCCTTCTCTAGAGTCGAAGTGACTCTAATGCAAGAGTAGCCTCTCAGATTTGGTTGGACTACAGCTCACTATTGGCTAGGCTGGCTGGGGCTGATGGGTATTGTAGTCCCATCACATCTGGGGTGACCACAGGAAGATCCAGCTACTATGCTCAGAGATTACGAGGAACTGGAAAGAAGGCAAAGCAGATTTCTGCAGTGAACAAGATTCAGAAGAGGTGGAGATGAGGCCCTCAGAATGGACTGCAAATCCCAGCAGCCCCCTGAGAGCTTTGCCAAAAGAGTGGGATGCTGGGAGTTGAAGTCCAAAAACTGATGGGATGCTAAGTGATTCTCACTCCTTCTGTGTGCTTTTTTTCCTCTTTGTTACAGGAGTGGAAATCCTGTAGCCTTCCACATCTGGTCAGACTACAACACCCATCATCCCTCAATCTTCCCTTGCCAGGAGGAATGATTGCTGGGAGTTGCAGTCAACCAACATCTGGAGGGCTGCAGGATTGCTAACTCTAGGATGAGAATGTTTTAATGCAGTGGTTCCCAAACTTTAGTCCTCCAGATGTTACGGACTGCAGCCTCCAGCATTCCTGACTATTGCCAAGCAGACTGGGGCTTCTGGGAGTTGAAGTCCAAAACACTGAATTATCCAGATTTGGGAAACACTGTATGATGCAATAGAAAGATAGCCAGTGCTTTAAAACATTTATATCTTTGGAGGACAACAAGCCATGTTGTAGTCCCCAAAATAACTTGTCCAGATCTGACTCTAGCTGCCTCTTCCAACCCAGCACCCTCCAGAGACATTGAATACAACTGTTAGAATCCTCCAGCCAGAGATGGGGAATTCTGGGAGTTGTAGTCCAATGCTTCTGGCGGGCGTCAGGTTAGAGGAAGCTGAATTTTCACAATATGAGATCCTCAATTGTAGACTTTAGTTCCTCTTCCCCTTTAAAAAAAGGTGCCTTAAATTGACCTGAAGACCTCTCTCTGCCAACCAGACTAACTCTAGTATCCAGAATAATGGTTTACTTTCAGGGGATGTGGTGGTCACCTGTTGCTCCCAAGGCATTCTGGGAAACTTGACTCCTAGTGACCAGAGTTTCTTGCCATTGCACTGAAGCCTGGACTTTCAACCAAGAAAATCTGATGCTGGAGGGAAGGTCAGCCACCTTAAATTCTCAGGTAAAAGAGCATCACTGCAAAGATGCTATTAGACTGCAACTTCCTGCAATCCTCCCAGTCAGCTAGGGTGTCTAAGGCTGATGGGAGTTGCAGTCTCTCTGCATAACTGAACCAATTTGGCAGAGATTAATCCTCTGCCATCCCACTTTTTTCAACCGCTTTTAAAATGTCCTGGTTTCTTTCTCCTGCTCCCACTTTCTCCCCTTGTACTCAGCTTATTTTGGTTGCTGCAAATGGAGTCCAAATTGCAAAAGTTTTGTGCAGTAGTGACATATTTGCAATAAAACCTGCCAAGTTTGAATTTATCCTCTATATCTTTCGCAAAAAAGTTGGCTTGCAAACTCCTTTTTAATTTCAATAATTTTTGTTGTGAGAGCCACTGTGGGGTCTGGTTTGAGCGTTGGACTGCAACTCGAGACCAGGGTTCGAATCCCTGCTCGGCCATGGAAACTCACTGGGTGCAGTTTAAGTCACACTTTCTCAGCCTCAGAGGAAGGCAAGGGCAACCCCTTCTGAGCAAATGTTGCCAAGAAAACCCTATGATAGGTTCACACCTTAGGGTTGCCATAAGTCAAAAACAATTTGAAGGCACACAACAACAAGAATTTTTGTTGCACACTTTAGAAAAACATAATACAATGCTACTTGGTGTTTTCCTTTTTTTAACGGGATGTTTTGTACACTTTTAAACAGGCATTTTGTAAACTTTAGAGTACATTATATTTGATATTAAGCAGCAATCTCTGTATGTAAGGTTGCTGTGAATAAAGATCTCCAGTAGATGCAATAAACTGTTGATTGTATTGATTTATTTTCATTTTGTGGGGAGAGGTTGGTTGGGAGTGAACTAAAAAAGGGGTTGGGGAAGTTACTTTTTCCAACTCGGATTGGCCACCAGGGAATTATAGTCCAAAACAAAATGTTTCTAGCACTAGAAAGTAGGTAAGTACTTTCTCCCATATTTTATCATCCCCTGAATTCAGATTATTACTTATTTTTTTTTTTTGGACAATATATCAATTTCCATCATTTCAAACAATTTAGATGTCCATCCTTCTACCTGGGGGGCATTTTTCTATTTTCCAAAATTGCGCTCCAAGCAATCTTGCTGCTGTAAGCATCTAGAGGATTCCCTTCTTTTCTTTCTTTCTTTTTTAATTAACTCATTATTTAGATGATTAAGTAACATGATTCCAGGTTTAAATTCTAATTTGATCTTGAAAATTTCGTTAACCTTGTGATTAATTTGTTTCCAACATTTGTTCGCTATATCACATGTGGAAGAATCTTCCCCTTTCTTTCAAGGATTTCTTATTTCTTGACTGCTGTCTTCATTCTGATCAGTGTTTGATCCAAGGTACGGGAACTCTTTAATTATTTCAATTTACTAATTGTCTAGAATTGAATGTATTATTTCCTCCAGGTCCTTTATTTTCATTTTCTTTATGTTCAGCATTGCACCTGATTTTCCACTTTTTCCCTTGACTTTCCTTAGTAGTTGCTCCAGTGATGTTTTCTGCTAGTAGTACGGTGTCATCTGCATATCTTCAGTTGTTGATGTTCCTTCCTCCTCCTATCTTTCCTCCTCCTTCTGAGTCTAAACCTGATCTTCATATTATATTTTCTGCATATAAGTCAAACAGACAGTGTGAAAGGATGCAGCCTTGCCTAACTCCTGTTGAGAGTATGTGCTTTGCAGAGAGTAGATAAGTCCATGATGTCTAAGTTCCCGCATAAAGATCCTACTGCTGTTAAAAGCAGTGTGATGGAAACCAGTGAAAAATGTGGCCTACCTGTGCGTTCCCTCCAACGTTTCACAAATAAAAACCAGGACATGTGTGGCTAAGTAAGTGGGGTGAACGTGCCAAAGCTATTGTCGAGGGAGAATAGACCAGCTAGGAGAGGATGCAGCAGTTTGCTTTTGCTTTTGGGGCTGAGTGGAAACAGTGAAATTCTGCCCCTTTTTCTTCTCTTCTCCTCTGCTGAGTTGATTGAATGCAAAGTACTTTTTTTTTGCCTTGAATACAGTTTTCAGCAATGGAAGTAAGCTGAGGACCAAGGAGGGAAGTGGGAGACACAGAGGGAAACTGGGACATTTTACAAACAGCTGAGAAAGTGGGATGGCAGAGGATTAATCAGGTCTGTCCTTGCCAAATTGGGACAGCTGGGAGGTTACGACTGTAGATATGATAGGTTATTGGTTCACAAAACCCTGTGCTATTTAAAAAAAAAAAGGTTTATTTTAAAAAATAGCATTAAGAATAAATCTTTCTCTGTGACTTCTGAGATATTATGGGACCAGAGGCCAAAACATGATGCTCTTGCCCTATGTTTCCCTCTCCCTTCCAGAGCTTTGGAAAGTTACTTTTCAAAATTACAGTTGCTAAATTCTGGTAAGTGTAGTCTTCCAAACTACTGTAGTAACTTTCCTAGACACTCTGTCCTTTTCTGGGCTTCTTTTGCCTAGTAGACTCAATTCACAACTTTGGCCTCTAGGGGGCAGCAGCTATCCATGTCAATCCATTTATTCCTGCAGCTCTTGAGAAAAATTGGAAGTAAGCTGGAGGCAAGAGTCCCAAAACTGAGTTAGTACTGTATCTTTTGCTTTTTCACAGCAAAGATGGGCAATTCTGGCCCAGCAGAATGGTTTTTCCACCCATGATGGACCACAGTCTTGCATTGTTCTTGAAAAATTACAAGCAGAAGTCTTTGCAGGGCTGTTGGTTATTGTTGATGTGTGCTTTCAAGTTGTTTCCAAATTATGGCGACCCTATTAATAATAATAAAATTTATTTTTATCCTGCCCCTCTGCGTAATCAGCAGGGGTAGGCAACCTTTCCCCTTTAAGGGCCGAGGGACTTCAGCTCCCAGAAGCCTCAGCCATGTTGGCCAATAGTCCCATGTTGGCCAATAACTCCTGGGATTCTGGGAGCTGAAGTCCCTCGGCCCTTAAAGGGGAAAGGTTGCCTACCCCTGGCTTACAGCATTAAAAATATACACCAGTCATAAGGTTTTCTTGGCAAGTTTCTTCAGAGGGGGGTTGCCATTGCCTTCAGCTGAGGCTGAGAGAGTGTGACTTGCCCAAGGTCGCCAGTGGATTTCTAGGGCCAAGCAGGGATTCGAACCCTGGTCTCTAGAATTATAGCCCAATGATCGTGCCACTATACCACACCAGCTCTTGTTGTGAGTCAATTTAAAAATCGCAAAGGCTGCATCTGCACTGCAGAAATAATCCAGATTGACACCACTTTAACTGCCATGGCTTGAGGTCTGGAGGAGAAGACAGGCCAGACCCTGGAATCTGGAAACCATGCTCTAAGAGACATCTAGTGTGTGTGTATATATATATATATATATATATATATATATATATATATATAGGAGGGCTGGTTTTCTGAATGCAGACAGTAGTTTAAGTAAGTTGCAGATCTAGAAGGGTCAAATAGAGGGGTGAGAGACCCTTTGGTGTGGAGTGAATTGATAAATTCCATCCAGATTATACGTGTGAATAACCCTGGATGTATCTGCACTGTAGAAATAATACAGTTTGAAACCACTTTAACTGCCGCTGGCTGCATTCTACAGAATCCTGGGATTTGTAGTTTGGTGAGGCACCAGCCCTCTTTGGCAAAGAAGGGTAAAGACCTTGCAAAACTACAAATCCTAGGCTTCCATAGGATGGAGCTACAGCCACTAAAAGTGGTGTGAAACTGCATTATTTCTACAGTGCAGATCCACCCCGTATTTCTGCAAAATGGCTGATAAAATTTGTGATTTGGAAAGCCAGGTGGTCCTGTTATAAAAAGGAAAGTCTCCCTCCCAAAGAAAACATATTGTTTCAGCGTGTTATTAAACATGAAGCCATGTTTATGAAAATGCAACATTGGGGTAAACATAACAATATTTTGGAAGAGCAGCCATTGCATATAAATAAAGAGCAGCTGCTGGTTTATTTTGATTTCTTTTTTGGACTACAAAACTCGGAAGGCGCTTAAACCTTTCCTCCTTTCCAAGTATTGCAAGATGGGACTCAAAAGATCTCTCTGCTGGAAGGAAGTTGTACACCCAAAAGAAAAGTTAGCTTTCCCAAGCTCTGCGATACTTAATAATTTATTATTGTCTCCAGTCACAGACGAACAAAAAGCCATTTGGAGGCAGGTTCGATCTCTCCTGCTTGGCTCCAGGGTGGCAAGAGGGGACTTCAAGATCTCTCATTTCGTTTTACTGGTTCAAACTGGGAAAGTTTAAAGCCGTATCCACGCAGCCTGTGATTTGAGTGGAAAGATGCCACTGGCCAGGAAACCAAAGGCATACCAATTGGTCTTGTCTCCTTTATGGCTCCATTTTCTCCAGATTGGTACTTTCATCCCATCCCAGTTCTGTATCAGGTTGCAAGAGTCTCTCCCTTCCCTGCTTTCTAGCCTTGCAATTTGTACCTAATTCTCGGTGTGTTTTGTTCAGAACCTATACCTTGCCATATTATTAACTTTTGGCACATTTTCCCAATGAATTTGTACACCGTCCCGCTCTCCCTCCCCGCAATGTACACCTTCTAAATCACGCACAGCCATTCCTTGGCCCAAGAGCCTCAGAGATGTATTGATTTTTCAGAAGAAATCTATGCACCATTCTGTTGCCTGTCGCAGGAGGTGCAAAATGGATGTCTTTGTAGGGAAATGCAAACACGGCAAAACCGTTTCCCGGCTCCCGTCGTGGCACCTCTGGGTCCCAGGTGTCTCCCTGTGTTTCTTTCCCTGGAAGTTTAGAAGTTGCTGCAAGTTGTTGAAATGAATCCTCCATCAGCCCCTGGGACAGGTGTGCTTGTGCGTCTTCGGGTCACTCGTCCACCTACGGCAACCCAACACATTTTTATTAATTTCGATTCAAATTCAATATTTCCAGATACAAACAATTCCATCCATACATCCAACACACAACATGCAGTGCAATACAACTTGACTTCCCCTCTGTAGCTGAATTTTTAAGACTTGGTTTTCTTATTATTTCTGCCCCACGCGTTTCATAGAGTTTTCTTAGGCAAAGAATACCCAGATGGGATTTTTTGCTGCTGTTCCAGATGAAATGGGATCTTAGCTTTGTGTGTGTGTGTCTCTTAACCTGGGAAAGAAAATAAATTCCTTGGATGAGCCAGCAAAAAGGCTTATTTTTGCTCCTTTCAAATTTTCCAGAATCACTGAGACCACCAAAGGTCATCTACTCTGACCCTCTGCCAGTGCAGGAAACCACAACTAAAGTATCCCTGACAGCTGGGCCATCCAACCTTGTTCTCCCTATTCCTGCTATTTCTCCTCTTCTTCCCCCAGATTCCAGAATAATTGTTCTATCTTTACCTCCAGTCTCTTTGTTCTTTCATCCTCCAATTGTGTTCGCCAGGCCATGATTCTTAGACTGGTATGTTCATCATGCAGATGGCATCCACCTCCTATAGCATACCCTCCAAATGTCCTAATTTAGCAGGGACAGTCCTGCTTAATCCTCTGCCTTCCCACTTTTTCAGCTGCTTTTAAAATGTCCCGGTTTCTCTGTCATCCTCCTCCCACTTTCCCTCTTTGTCCTCAGTTTGCAGCAACGTGAGTTCAAAATACAAAAAGTAGTTTGCAGTCAACTAATTCAGCAAAGAAGAGAAAAGAGGAAGGGACAGAGCTTTGTCCTTCCCAGGAGACTCAGGCAAATACAAACTGCTGCAGTTTGTGTGATTTTCCTTTCCTAACTGGTGTGATTTTCCTCATTAGTAACCACACTCTAATGTTGCTTTGCCAGACATGTCCTGGTTTTACACCTCTGAACTGTTGGAAGGTATGCTATGGTCCTAGGTCTGAGTAAAGCTCCTTCCTGCCCTGACCCATCCAAATCCACCAGACGATGGTTAGTGCTAACCAGGAACTGCCTACAAACCATGGCTTAAGAGTGGAGTTTGGAAACCATGGTTTGGAAGGAATCCTTCCTAGGCACTAACCATTGTCAGGTTGCTCAGATATTTGTCCCTTCTAGTTGTCCTATGATGTGTCCAAAGTACGACAACCACAGTTTAATTTCATTTTAACTTCCAAGGAGAGTTCAGGCTTGATTTGCTCTTAGATCCATTTATTTGTCTTTTTGGCCGTCCACCGTATCCGCCGAACTCTCCTCCGGCACCACATTTCAAATGAGTTGATTTTCTTCCTATCAGCTTTCTTCACAGTCCAACTTTCACAAAGAAACCAAAAATAATTGTCTTTGATGTTCAATGATATACATATATCTTTACGCATGAGATTCTTATCTAGCTCTATCATTGCTGCCTTTCTGAATTTTGGCCTTGGAATAGAGGAGAAATATTCACAATATAATGGGGTTCCCTTTGGGTCTCCATAAGTCAGAAATGTCTTGAAGACACTTCAACATTTGGGAATCTCTGCTGAGAGGAATAGCTGAATACTGCAATTTTATTTTATTTTATTGCATGGGCAAAGAATCTTGTGTGCAAAATGAGAGAATCATAGGAAGGGACCCCCAAGGGCCATCTAATCCAGCCCACATCAGGCAGGAATGCACAAATGAAGCACTCCTGAAAGATGCCCCTCCAGTCTCTATTCAAATATTTCCAAAGAAGGAGAGCCTGCCGTCTTCCATTCCACTGTTGGGAAATTCCTCCTAATATTTAGCTGGAATCGTTTTTCATGTTGTTGTTGCATACTTTCAAGTCATTTCCAACTTATGGCGATGCTAAGGGGTTTTCCTTATGATCTCTGCCTTATGGCAATCCTCTCTTTCCAGGTTTCTTCAGACAGGTTTTGCCCAGGCCTTCCTCTGAGGCTGAGAGAGCGTGACTTGCCCAAGGTCACCCATAAGGTTTCCATAGCCGAGCAGGGATTCCATCCCTGGTTTACTAGTCCTAGTCCAACACTGAAGCCACTACACTATGCTGCCTCTCCTAGGGTTTCCTTGCCCAGGTTTCGTCAGGGGAGAGGCTGTGAGAGTGTGACTTGCCCATGTTCACCTCAGTGAGTCTGTGCCTCTCCTAGGGTTTTCTTGGTTGGATTTCGTCAGAGAAGAGGCTGAGAGAGTGAGACTTGCCCATGTTCATCCCAATGGGTCACCATGGCCAAGCAAGGATTTGAACGAACCCTGGTCTGCCAGGGGATGTACCGTACTATGATTTCCTATGGGCAAATATTCTCCAATGATTCTCTGTGGCAGGGGTAGGCAACCTAAGACCCGGGGGCCGGATGTGGCCCCCCGAGGTCTTTGGACCGGCCGCCGCCACCGCTGCCGCAGCCCCACGCCACCCGCCATGATGATATTGATTATTGTTATTACTTGTTCTTGGGGTTTTCTTGGCAAAATCTCCACAGGGGTTTTGCCATGGCTTTTCTGGGGCTGAGAGAGTGTGCATGCATATATATTTTATTATTTATTTATTATTATTTGTTTGTCTGTTTGTTTTTGGTGCTTCGCCCCCCCCCCCAATTGTTTGAGGGACAGCAACCCAGCCCCCAGCTCAAAAAGCTCTATGGGCAAGTATGGTTTCCCTATGGGCAAGTATTGTCCTTTGTTTTAGTGCGTCCGGTCTGCCAGATTCCTGATCCAACACCGGAACCACTACTAGACCATGCTGCCTCTCCTTGGGTTTTCTTGGCCGGATTTCTTCAGGGAAAGTTTTCCTTTGCCTTCCTCGGGTGCTGAGAGAGCCTTCTTCTGCTGCACTTGAGCCGTCTTGTCTTCTCGTGTTGCAAAACCTCTGTCTTCTGTCTTACTCTGCACAAAAGGATCCCATACCCTCCAACTGTACTGTCCCAACTTGGCAGCAGGGCGACAAACCTTGTTAATGCAGAAGAAGACACCCCAAACTCTCCTTTGAAGCAGAGAGGCCCAGATGCTGGGACAAGGCACTCCTCCTCCAGAAGAGCTGGAGCTGCTGGTCCAGAGCTTTGGGAAGAAGTCCCTACGACTCCAGTGGCTGGCCTGGGGATTTGGGGCATTGCAGTCTGGAAAAGGGATTTTTTACCCATGCTCTGGGCTCATCCCAGTAGAAAAAAATGGGGGCTTGGGCAGATTTCTCGATGGAAGGAAGGAAAAGTGGCATCTGCCCAAATGCCCTCCTTCGGAAGTCACAAGTCTAACCCAAGTCCCCATGCGAGCGATCTGCCTCTAATGCTAACTTTAAAAATGTAAAAAGCAAAGACAGTGTGGGGTGTTTTTTTTTTTCCTTTAAAAAGGGAAGTGCCCCTTTTTTGGAGGGAGAGGCAGTCAAAAAATGCATCCCCTTTCTGGGATAATCCAACCCATTTTTTTGGAGGGCGTATCCTCTAAAGTTGTATCTGCACTGCAGAAGTAATCCAGGTTGACATCACTTTAACTTCTGCGGTTCCATGCAATGCAATTCTGGGAGTTGTAGTTTGTTCTGGAACCAGAGCCATCTGCCAGAGGAGGACAAATGTCTCACTAAACTACAAATCCCAGAACTCCATACCATTAAACCACAGCAGTTAAAGGGGTGTCAGCCTGGATTATTTCTGCAGTGTGGATGCAGCCTAAAATATGCATCTCATGGGTTGCATTATCCCAGAAGAGGAATGCTCTTTTTTTGGGGGGGGAGCTGCCTCTCCCTTAAAAAACAAACATTTTTTGCATCTTTTAAAATTGTCTTGCACCTGCATGTGCAAATATGGTATGAATGTCCTCCTGTCCTCCTTCCCTGCCAGCCTCCCAAAGTGGCAGAGAAGGACTTTCTGCCAAGAGAGAGCTCTAACCCTAACCCTAACCCTAACCCTAACCCTAACCCTAAC